CTATGGACTATAACATTTATGGGACCATTCAAAATTTCAAGTTTAAAAAAACTTGAAAAAATATGTTAAAAAATAAAAATTATGAAAACGTATAAGTAATATTTAGAAACTACATCAAAGTAAATACTTTGATGTATAAAATATGAATTCTTATTAATAAGGTGAAAGTTCATATAAACACTCATCTACTGCGATTCTTTTTTCTTGATATGATAAAAACGATAAAAATCTACTTTTTAAATGATAAACATATAAAAAAAATAAACAAAGAAAATATATATTTTGATAAATTTATGAGCAACTTTCACATATAGCAAACACAAAATTCATATTTGTATGCTATAGCAAAGTTTGCATAATTACGCTTCATAGCAAACATAAAGTTGTATAATTCGCTATACATATACAAAAGAAAGAAGTTGTATACAAAAGATCAATTGTATAATCAGTGTATGTATAAAATGAGAAAGAGAGAAAGGCAAAAGAAAACTGGGCAGGAAAATATTTGTATTGTATAATTATAAGTGTATAGGACGAAGATATATGTATTTGCATGTGTATATACAATTTTCTCTCGCTTTATACAAACAGAAGCGCAATTTATACATTTCGTTTCTAATTTGTATAAGCGAGAGAGGCAAGGGTGGCGAGCGAGATTTGGGAGAGTGGCGAGCGAGATCTAGGAGAGGGGAGAGAGGGGAACAAAAATATATGTATATATACAATTTCCTCTCGCTTTTATACAAACACAAACGCATTTTATACATTTGTATTTGTATAAAAGTGAGAGAGGCGAGCGAGACTGCCACCAAACGAGAGTGGCGAGCGAGATTCCACCAGGGAGAGTGGCGAAAATAGCAATAGTTTGCTATAGGGTACAATTAAATCAAAGTATATTTATAGCATTTAATTTGAATTAATAGTTTGCTATTATATATAATTTTCCCTTTTAAAAATTATATATTTAATGTCAAGTTGGTTTGGTCTCGGGTTGACTTTTTTTAGTTAAAATCAAACCAAGTGTGGTTGGATTTTTTTTCCAATACCAAATCAAGTCAACCCAAACCATTAGTCGGATTCTTTTTTCCGGTTTGACTCGGTTTACGGTTTGATTCGGTTTTGTACACCCCTAATTGGTTCTTCTTCTATTTTTAAAAATATTTTTTTACATAAATACACAACTTAAGATAACATAATCTCTAAAATTTCCTACCATTTAAATAAATTACAAAATTTCCCTCTCCGATCATCCTTAGCCCTCTCGAATACATTCATATCCCTCTCGGATATCATTTATAATGTATCAGACAATCAAGAAATATATTTGAAAGCAATAAAAAATTTGGAATTTTTTTAATTGTGGAAACTTCTGAATAAGATGTAATTAACCCCCCCAAATGTATAAAATTTATGTACTTTTTTCCCAAGGGGAAAAAAAAGGTAGCTAGCTGCCTCAGCTTTTCTCATCACATTAACTAGGAAGAAACTTCAAATAGATTAAAATAAATAAATATAGGGCAGGTCATCTCTTTCTGAATTGATAAGTTTTTTTATTATTAAATATAGTGGAGATAAACTAAAAGACCAATTTAATATCGTATTGTTAATTAGAGGAATGGGAGAATACCTATTTCTCAACCACATTTTGAGTATTTTATTCTTAGGAAGATAAGATTTTTGCTGCCTTCAATCGTCACTTCAACACTTTCAACAGCCTTGATTGAGATATTATGGCAGGCACCCTACTCTCCATATTTTCTTTAAATTAGTGGATGGCCACACCTCCATGTTAAAATTTTGCATCATTTTTTAAAAGGCTTAATACATCATTAAATTTATTAGGATATTCCATTTAAATACTCGAATTAGTCTGTTCCATTCGAACACCTCAACTTCTAATCAAGTGTTTCAATTAGATACTTTTAATTCAAATTTTGAAGAAAAAAATTACACATGTTTTCATTTCTCTATTAGTAAATAGTTAGAAGTTTAACCCCAGAAAATATGTCATTTCCTTTAATTATACACTTCAACCTCAAATGGATAATGCTTAAGGTTTTATTTGATTAACTTAACTACCTAATAAATGAATGAAAACACACATACTATTTCTTATTTTACAAAATTTGAAGCGAAATAAAATTTAATTCGAATGTCTAAATTATAATATCCTCACAAATTTATAAGACTGGTTAGATATTACTTTGTAAAGTTTAAAAGTTACTCCAGTTATTTGTTATCAACTTATCACTAGTGTCGGTTAAAATGTGGCATCTTTTACTTAGAAGCCACAAGTTTATTGCACGTTAGATAAAATATTTTACCATATTTGTGATTTATGACGTGACTAGAGTCCACTATATTGTGTCTACTGCACGTTGGCACCACATTCTTCTTTATTTTCACATGCTATGATATGATCTGTTTTTTCTTTTCACAGATTCGTTTTTTAGTATTCAAGTGCAAAGTGGAGTATCAATTACTCTAATGCTGTTGGCAAGTAAAACTTTATTTTAAAGATAAATAAATGACTGGCTGTCCATTTCTCCACACTCCTAGATGCTAGATGGATTAAAGAAGAGCACACGGATTCAATCAAATTTAGTATTTTTAATTCAATTTTCATATTTATTATAAGAAATTCAATAAATATGTATAAATTATTTAGTTTAGAACTTATTAACTTGAAATAACTTGCAGCTCTCGTCGGGATATGGAATATATGTTACCAAATGTTTATCTGTAATATGATGCAGTTGAATTTATCAAAGTAATTTAAGAGCATACGAGTTACATCAATTTTGTAATGAAATGACAGTAAATAAGTTACAGTAAAGAAAAGTTGAATGAAACTATATCTTTGGATCTAGACGGCTTATATTGGTGAGACGTCACACCAGATGATGTTTGATTTCGAAATTGTTGTTCAATACTTTTAAATCAAAGTACGCTAATCAATTGCTCTACGCACGTGTTGACACACTATTCATCCACTTGAACAAGATCGATATTTCCCTATACACCAAGAAGTTATTTTATACCATCGACCTGCATTAATTTATTTCAATTTTCTTAAGAGAGATTAATGATCGATTCTTTTTGTACAATTCAAAAGCTCAAAAAGAATATAATGAAAATAATTTCGCCCATCTAGCATATGTAAGATTGACTAATAGTACCAGGAAACTACAATGTGAAATTTGAAATACATTTGAATTTTCCTTTAATGAAAATAGTCTGAATCAATAAAAATAAAAAAACATAAATATGTTGAACAAGTGTATTGAATTCAAAAAAGAAATAAACTTTGAAATTATTTCTATTTTACATCAATTTTTTTCCTGACAATAATCTTCTTATACATTTTCAAATACTTCTAAGAAAATTAGTACAGTAGCAAATAGTATCTTTTTATGTAGCTATAATTTCAATTTTATTTAAAGTATTAAAAAAAATTAAATCAGAATATAATAACTTTAACCCTCGTGCTCTTTTTTTAGACAAAAAGAGTAACAGACAAATCAACAAGCGTCATCTGTTTCATTGTCGGATAAGCCTGAATTGACGGCACCAATTCTTCCACTTTGATATATCTCATTGGCCAAACTCACATCGAGAATCAAAGCTCTCTCATTGGTCCACGTTTCGATATCAACATCAACACCTTTAATTAAAAGTAGAGATTTTTTTTAGTAATCCTCGAAATTAATTTTTGTCGCATTTTCGATTTTATTTGTCACTTTTGATATATCAAGAAAAAATAATATTTATTTCTTCATATTTTCTCCTCAACATTAAATACTTATTTTTTCCAAAGACATCATTTTATAGGGGATAATTTGATAAAATATCTATATCAATAATTACTATCTTAATGGATGTAATACGTAAAAATGAATGAAGGGAATATTATATTGCGGTCAGGGGTGGAGCCAGCACTCTGATGAATCCCTTCGGCGGAAAATATTATTATTTATATATGGTTAAAATTATTTTTATATATATATAAATAATACATGTCGAATTCCCTTCGATTAGTTTGTGTGTTTAGTTTTTCAGATTTAAATTCCTTATTAAAAATCTTAACTGCGCCACTAATTGTGGTAAATTATGTTGAAAATATGTTATTACTAATAAAAGAAAGGGAAAAGGCTCAAATATGCCATTGAACTTTCAGAAAAGGCTCATTTATGCCATCCGTTAAAAATTTGGCTCATCTATGCCATTACCGTTTAAGAAAAGACTCATTCATGCCATTTATTTTTAACAGTGGTTTTGCAAAACCATTTTTTACACGTGGCCAATTATAACAAAAATTCGGCCACGTCATTAATTTTTTTTATAACAAAAATTGAATTATAATTCGGCCCACGTCATTTTTTTTAAATTCAATTTTTGCAAAACCATTTTTTACACGTGACCAATTATAATTCGGTCACGTCATTAATTTTTTATTAAAAAAATCAAAATTCTGAACAAAAATTGAATTAAAATAATAATAATGACGTGACCGAATTATAATTCAATTTTTATTCAGAACTTTGAATTAAAAAAATAATAATGACGTGGCCGAATTATAATTGGCCACATGTAAAAAATGGTTTTGCAAAATCACTGTTAAAAAATAATGGCATGAATGAGCCTTTTCTTAAACGCTAATGGCATAGATGAGCCAAACTTTTAACGGATGACATAAATGAGCCTTTTGTGAAAGTTCAATGGCATATTTGAACCTTTTCCCTAAAAGAAATAAAAGTGTGTCGCGTAAATTCAGACGATAAAACCAATGAAAAAGAAAAATGAAGAAAGAGGGGCTTTAAAAGAGTGGGTAAGGTGTAAGAAGAGAAGACACTTGTCGACTCCAGCAAGCCCTAAATCAGCGAAGAAGAAGGAGACGACACGCTGCTGCTCTTTCCTTGTTGCTCCCTTCCATTTCTTCTGCACATACAAGGGTATAATTGTCTCTCCACTTTCTATTTTCTTTTCTCTATCCTAACAACATCTCAACAAATTATCAATTTTTTTTTTTTGATTTAATAAAGTTGAAATCTTTGTATTAATATGCAGTTTCTTTTATTGATCAAGTATATTTTAAGTATAGATGATGTTGGGTAGATGAATTTTGGTTTTGGGATGGTTAAATCTTGGATCCATTGTATTGAAAGACTGTTTAGTATGTGTTATACTGAATTGAGCTAATACTGATATTGATCTGGGTTTTTTTTCAACTAAAACCAGATATTGATCATGATTTTTTTTGTTATTCAAAAGTTATAGTAAAGTAAGATCTTTAAAAATTGCATCTTTTTCTAGTGGACAGCACAGCTTCAATCTGACTATGAAGACCTATAACTTGTCGATAAGCTAGACCTATACTGTGTGTTATTTCATTCCATAAATAAACTCGAAAACTCGAGAAATCTGTTGGACAGGTGGATTCACATCTCTTACGACCAATATAGACATCTTTTATGATGTGGTGCATTGGATGTCTTAACCAGAGGTCTCGATGTTGAGCCCGGATATGGAAAAATACTTGGTAGGGAGCGATTTTACGCTGCCCAAATACGGATTAGTCAAAGCTAAACCCGCAAAAAGCAGTCCTCTGTTGGTGGAGCAGAACAATTTTGTTATCCTTGAGTTTGTAGTTAATATGGTCTATCATATGGTTTAATATAGCTCAAGAATGATTTGAATTCTTTGGAGACAGTAATGGAGTTGATGTTTGCTCTTTTCTATTATGAAAAAATAATCTTAAAACTTGTCAATTCAATTAGTCCTGTTATTTGTGAATTTGGTGAATATTATGTCTCCTGAATCTATGGGTTTAATTGTTGTACTTCTTGGATTTGACACATATATTAAGTTTCCCTTTACCATAGATTTTGAACTTGAAACTTGAAAAATCGAGTTTTTGAACATGTATTTTACTTGAAATTTTTTTGAAGTTATGTGAGTGGAAGTTCAAAAATCCAAAAACTAGTCTGAGTCAGGTTTTGGGAACTTGAAATATTTGAAGATTCAAAATTCATGGCCGAATAGATTTTTGAAGATAAATATTCCAAATTTACTCGTAAAATATATGGTCAAACACTAGCTAAGAAAAGAAAAAGGTTCCAATGGTCAGCTGCCACTGATCTACTTTAACTGCTAAAATTTGTACTAATGAGTCTTTTTTATCAGATATTCAAATACCCTTTGAGTTCTAGTAACATGGGATCTTACATGAATTTCAAGAACGTTGCTGACACGCCACAGCTGGAGAGCAACGGGGGGAAGTCAATTGGTAATGGTGATTTCCCTTTGGCTAGGCAATCTTCGATATACTCGTTGACGTTTGATGAGCTTCAAACTACATTTAGTGGACTTGGAAAAGATTTTGGATCAATAAATATGGAGGAACTGTTGAAAAGCATTTGGACAGCTGAAGAGTCTCAAGCTGTGACATCTTCTACTGGTGGAGGAGGAGATGGGAATGCACCTGTAGGAAATCTACAGAGGCAAGGTTCTTTGACATTACCTCGGACACTTAGTCAGAAAACTGTTGATGAAGTATGGAGAAACTTTCAAAAAGAAACTACAGTATGTACCAAAGACGGAAGTGACACTGGGAAATCAAACTTTGGGCAGAGGCAGTCTACCTTGGGAGAAATGACATTGGAGGAGTTTCTGGTGAAAGCAGGTGTAGTTGGAGAAGATATGCAATCTACTTCAAACTCAAGTGGTATTACATTTAACAATGGTTCAAGTCAACAGAACAACAACAATGGTTTCAACATAGCATTTCAGCAGCCAACTCAAAACACTGGACTGTTGATTAATCAAATTGCAGCCAATAACATGTTGAATGTGGTTGATCCCACAGCCTCACAGCAACAACAACCTCAGAAGCAACAGCCTCTTTTCCCCAAGCAAACAACAGTGGCATTTTCATCTCCTATGCAGCTATCAAACAATGGACACCTGGCTAGCCCTCGAACAAGGGCTCCTGCTGTTGGAATGTCCAGTCCTTCTGTAAATGCTAATATGGCTCAAGGCGGAGTTATGGGGATGACAGGATTTTATAATGGAGTTTCACCAGCAAAAGGAGGATCCCCTGGAAACGATTTTGTTGCAAGGAGCAATGTGGATACATCGTCTCTTTCACCTTCCCCTTATGCATATAGTGAAGGTGGAAGGGGAAGGAGATCCGGTAGTTCTTTGGAAAAAGTTGTGGAGCGAAGGCGTAGGAGGATGATTAAGAACAGAGAATCTGCAGCTAGATCAAGGGCTCGGAAGCAGGTGAACTCATATGTTGAGCTATTATCTGATGATTTACAATATTTTCTTGTGCTTCTGATTCTTGAGGACCATTACATTCATAGGATTTACTCTAAACTTCTAATTAATATGACACTTGGTCAACAACTTTGTATAATGAAAATGACTCAGAGTAAAAGAGCTGAAGATTTTGACAGCATTATCTTGGTGTTTAATGTAGACTTCCTCATCACAATCTTCTTTAATTACTCTTTAGATCTAACAATGGCTGATAAATTTTCAAACATTATTACATCTGTTTCAAACAGCTTCCTTATATGCTGATAATCTTAATAACGAGCCCTGATATAGCTGACAGTGTTATTCAGGGATTAAGAAGTTTGCTTGGCAAAGCAAATAATACATCGAGTGTGGTTTAGATTTTAGGATGTGCATGTTTACTCAGTTGCAGCTTTGAATTTTTGTTTCTTTATTTATTACAAAAGTGGGGGATTTTGAGAGTGAGAAAGAGGGAAGTAGTTGGTTACAAACTTTGGTTTCCCATCAATAACAACTTGAATTTGTTAAATGTTTATGTTGTGAATGTAATTCTTAGTTGCACCTTCATCTGGGATATGACAGGCCTATACTTTAGAGTTGGAAGCTGAAGTGGCAAAGCTAAAAAAAATTAATGAAGAGTTGCGGAAGAAACAGGTATGTGTCAAATGGCTGGAGATCATAAAATTAATGCAATGGCATTGTGAAGTGTTCATATTGTAACTTTCACTTTTGATTTTTCGTTCAGGCTGAAATTATTGAGAACCAGAAAAATCAGGTACGGAATTCTTTTAGTACTAATAATTGGTCTGAAGGAAGAGTTGAAATAATGTACATGGCTTACTAATCAACAAAATGAGCAAAACGAGCTATGTTTATGTCATCGATTGCCTGAGTGGATGTGGAGTAATTGCACATTCAGGCTGCGAGACTAAAACATGTTACTCCTATTAGTTAAACGAGGTTGTCTACTGTCTGGTAGATTGCCGGTGTTGCTAACCATTCCATTCTACTGTGCAATTGCAGCTAACCGATAAAAGGAATATGCCACGTGGATATAAATTAAGATGCTTGAGAAGGACACTGACAGGACCTTGGTAGAAGAATATGGAGTTGAAGCAAAAATTGCTGAGTACAAGCATAGGCAATAGTTATGATCTGATTCAGATCTACCTTCTTCACATGTGTGGTAACCTTATGTATGGTAATGAGATGGTATACCCATTTATGTACATTATGTAAACGATTTGCTTGTATGAATTCCTCTGTGTACTTTTAATTTGCTTCACACATTTTAGTCATAGAGGCACTATGCAAGCAGGATGTATCAGTTCCATAGCTATCTAGGTAAGAGAGAGACATATTTGGAAGTAGCTTTTCTCTGTAAAAATAATAAGATACCTATTTGTTGTCAAGATCACCAGAGAAGTGAAAAAACAAAACAAATCCATAATGGAATCTATTGTTAAGTACACGCCAAGATCACCATTCAACGCATGAGAGCAGCAATCCTCTTTCTGTATGCTCTAAATGCCAATAATCATGATTATGGAGGCCAAGCTAAACGAAGAAAAGAAACTTGTGGGCTGGGGGTGCTATATAGTGTCCAGACGAGACAGAGATGAGGCGAAGAACAATTTGCCCATAACTGGCGTCATTACTTTGATCATCACGATTTCCAATGCGACCTGGCCGAGTGATAGTAAATTCCCTAATCCCAGTTAAAGATCTAGTAGGAACTCTGTATTGTAGGTTAGGACTAATCCTGTCAAGAAAAGGGGAAAATGATATAAGTGAATTTATAAGCCATCTTGGGTTGAGATATCCACCCAGTTTGCCCCAATTGCAGATGATCGCTGACTTGGCTACTGGATTGGAATGACTCCACTACCTTTGGTTTTGGTAGACTTGGGAAAATCTCCTCTCGAGCTTGTTATATCTGCTACCAAGTCATCAAGGACAAGAAAGTTGCCTTTCTTGTAATTGCCGGTGAAGTATGTATGTAATCCATCAATTTGAGTTGCCCCTTTAACATACTTGGGCACTCTGAGGGTTTCAGGACTGGCATTTCTAGCTCTTGGGGTACTGATAGACAAGACCTTCTGCTACACTCCTTGCCCTTGCATGCCCGAAAAGCTTGCTCACAATAGCCAGTGCAAACTGTATCGCTGTAGCAAGTCCCTGGCTTGTGATGAGTTTACCATCGATAACTACCTGAGCATCATTTACCCCGTCTTTGAGCTTGTCTAAGACAGCAGGATGTGCAGTGGCTTTCTTGTCCTGTTTAAGGAAGTGTGTAAATTGAACTTCTTCTCTCAAAATTAAGACATTCAAATGGCTAACATCATACCTTTATTAACCCCTGTTTCTGCAAGACTGCAGGTGAAGAGCAGATTGCACCAAATATTCTTCCAGCCGACTCTTGTTCCTTAAGCAACTTCTTCAGAATTTTTGACTTGTGCAGCCGTTCAGCCCCGGCAGCTCCTCCCTAGAGAATAAGAACCAATTAATTATCAAAGCAAGTGATGGACCTACAAAAATCATCTCACTTATGAGTTGGTAATAGGTACATTTGCCTAAAATTTTTGGAGAACTCGTGGAAATGCTGGTTAAATAAAAGGACTTAGCCTCACCGGGAGGATAATCAAGTCAAATATGGAGTCAGAAGTAGCATTTATCAACTTGTCTGCAACAATTTTTGTTCCTTTTGATGCCAAAACCTGTGCTGATTTTTCCACTGAAGCCACCACAACATTCACCTTTGCTCGTCTTAGAATGTCTATCAAGGTAACCACTTCAATTTCTTCAGACCCGTTGGCTATTGGAATTAGAACCTACAAAATTGTGAAGATGGAGAACATTGACATGTTGCGGGAAATAAATTATTCACACGAAAACATCATTAATCCTAGGACACAAGTACAATCTCTCATCAAGTCAGACAAGCAACTGCGTGTAATTGTTCCTAAAAATAAATATCAAGAACAAATTCCATGTATGCCCCCAAGCGTTGATAACATTCGCAACAAACCTTGCCCAAAGTCAAAAACAAGTTTCACATTAACCAGAGTCACTTGCTAGACATATTCACCTACAAGGTAACAACTGAAGCAGTACCAGCATCAGAGCTGCAAGGCAACACTAATAAATTGATAACCCAAGGTGCGAAGAAAAGAATAAAGAAACCATTTCCTGAATTCCTAACAATGGAAGATGACCACTGACACCGAGATGTTTTTAGCACAGCATTAAAAACATGAATTTGCATCATCATTATGCCAGAACGATGAATGGATAAGCACCGAATAAGAAAAATGCACATTCATTAAGACCCTTAAACAGTTCCTTCGACATTATGCACAAGATAAAGAACTCATAGGGGTGAGCGCATTGTTACTGAAATTAATTCTGTAATTACAGTTTAAGTTCCAGCTATATAAAGCAAAAACAAGGAAGGCTTACTTGGGGGGTGCGATCAAGAGACCATCCAACTTCATTGAATTCTTGTCTCTTTGGGTCATCACCTGCAGGATTCATCAACTACACAAATGTACGGAAGTTTTATGAGAACAATCTAAGTATAACAAACAACCCAATCAGATAAACGATGTAAGTCAGATACAAACAAATCAAAGGCCAAATAATAATGAAGTGTTCACAAAAGGTTTTTCACAATTGCCAGTTGTGCACAAGCCCTCTGAAATTTAGTTGAATCCTGTTCAATTGAACTTGTAAACTGAGTCAAGAAACAACTTTCTCTTAACACTCTTTTCAGATTTGATCCTAGAAATAGAACAGAACTCCATTTTCCACCTCTCAAGTCAATGCTGGAAGCAATGGGGAAACCACAAAATAAGTTGCATCTCTTAGTTAAACATGTCCTCAGAACCTAACTAGCAATAGTTCATGATCGAATTGGTTCCAGTACCTCAGCCCAATACGAACTAGATAGAATGATGACATAACTAAATAACAACCCATGAATGGTCCAGTTACCAGTCAGCTCAGTTTTGATATTTTAAAAAAAAAAATTATATGTGAAGAAGAAGGTCTAGAACTAGAAGTTATGTAAAGAATTTAAGAATATCAATAATTCATTCACTCACCAAGAGTTCTCCAATTTCTCTGGCAACAGGCTCGCCAAACAGCTGCTCCACTAAACATATGGCAAACTCAAATGAAGTGCCAGGACCACGACTTGTTGTTAGCTCTCCAGAGACTCGTGTGTTAGTTTTCACCACCCGGAAGGAAGAAATTTTGTCTATAAATGCAGGATGACAAGTGGTCTTGATAGACACTGCATCAATTAACCAAACCAGGAACAAAGACACAGTGCAGAAAGCAAACTCTATAAACTAAATGCAATAGTCACCTGTTTCCTCTTGAGAAGACCCCAAGGCAAAAGAGTGACTGCTGGAGCAGCACATATGGCACCATAAAGTCGCTTCTCCTCAGCTTGCCTGCTTGTGATCTTCTGGAGAACTTCACAGTCTCTTAAACGAGCAGAACCTGGCATTCCTCCCTATATCAAGTTTATACATCAGTTATTAAATTTCCACCTATGACATTGACACAGACATAACTGTGATGAAATAACTGTAAGCTACATTATCAGAGATACAAAATACAAAGTCTATGTAGAGAAAGAAAAATCCCTACAAGGACGAAAATGCATCAATAGAACAGCGTGAAGCCTATTAATCACTGAATCAGTTGGATCATTGTATCACTGTGCTGGCACTTCTTTCACAGTTGAATCAGTTCCAAGTTCATGCATCAATTGTAACAATGCAGCCTCAACTAAATCGAGTTTCATTTCACTAGATGGGGAAGGACCATTACTACCATGAAATCTAGACTCTTTAAACACACTACTTAAGTATAACCCAATTGCGTGTTTTTACACAGAATTTTTAACCAACTCCGCAGCTTAACATGGCATCTCTGATTTGCTTTGTGTTTTGGTAATTCTTGAAGTTGCCAAGTAAAAGAAATATTGAAGTGGAGAAAGGATATGAGTAGTAAAAGAAGCAGTGGAGCCAGTTATACTGCAGAAAATGCATTTCACGTGAATCTTCACAGCTTGTAACAGATACATATATATGACGGATATTACATTTAACAGATCAGATGATATCAACAATACTAAGGGAAAGCTAATACTAACCGGCAATGCAACAAGATCAAATATTTCAGTGGAACAAGTAGAGATGAAAGTATCAGCAACTAGCCTAGTGCCTCCATATGCTTCAACCTCCAACTGCTGCTCTACTGATGCCACTGTTACCTCTGCACCAGCCCGGCGCAGAACATCAGCCAATATTACAGCTTCCATTTCTTCTGTGCCAAACCCAATTGGCACTAGAACCTATAAACGCCTCAAAAATGAAAAGAAAAGGCAAAACTCAATGAACCTCTATAGTCTATACTAATATCCATTGAAATTATTAAATGATAATCAAGCAATCAGCTTATATTTTTACATGTATTTCTACTGCACTAATTTTTTTTCAAGTTCCTAATGCAAATCTTTAATTTTGCATACGAAGCAAATGAATAAACAAACAAAAAAGACTGAACAGAAAGAATGAGACTCTTCACCTTTTTGGGAGATGCGGAAGCGGCAGTAGTAGTTATGGGGTCTATTGTAGGAGCTGCAGAGAGGGTTTTAACTGATTTTGAACTGGGTCTTTTCGTATCTGGTGAATTTATCTTCGGAGGGGCTGCAAATTTGACAGACGAAAGTCTTTGGGAAATAGGACTGAAGTAGAAAATTGGAGACTTGGCAGTGGAAACTGAGAACAATGGAGATATGGACTTCATTGTTACTGGTAACAATTTCGATTCTGGTTGCCGGAGATAATGCACTAGTCGCCGGCCGGAATGTGTATGACGACGGAAATACAAGTATTTGGGTGAGGTTAATTGGATAATGTTACGAATTACAAAAAAAAAATAAAAAAAATTGCTTAATATCCGTGCCTCTTGAAAATTGACTTTTAAAAATATATTTTAAATTTTATTAATGATATTTTTTTTTTACATGTTTTTGGGTCCGGGTTCTTCTAATGGGATTATAAGGTCACTGCGTCTTTTGTGGTGATTTATTATGATATTATTGAGGTTTTGGATGTAGTAACTTCTGAATTTTTGGGTCATAGTAGCTTATGGAATGCTCATGATAATTTATTATTAGAATGTTTATGTCCCTATGTTATTGTTATTAGAAGGTGCCTTATTAGAACTAGTGCCACAATATATTGGGGGAGAAAAAACACTTGCCGAGTCCAAAATCCACCAATGTGACTTGTGAGCTAATCCAATTTAATTATTAACAATGCACGATTAAAATGTATATATAGTAGCTTAAAGAGAAGTGTTGATTATACTATAAACAACTCACCACTCCACATTATTGTGGATTGCCTTGCTTGTATAGGAGACCTACTCCAGTTGGATAAAAGCACCATCACCTTACGCTTATACAAAAGAGCACCGCTTACCCATGAAAGATAATCCGCTTTTTTTAAATTCATACTTTATTGCTCTAGCTCTTGACTCATATGACACCACTGAAATTGGATAGGTTCAAGCTCACTTTTATGCTCAACAAGGACTAGTATAGTAAAAATGGTGAAATATACATCAAAGAGGAACATCATCCTTGTGAGAAAATGACAAGAATTCTCCAAGATAATGGCAATAATACTATACACAAGTGATGATCTCATTTGACAAAATTATGAAGGATCGGACACCAAAAATTGACAGCCAGGTACAATTGCCAATGATCATACCAAAAGGCAACAAAACTAGCCTCATCCTCCTATAAACACCAAAGGCCTTTCAACTGTCTCAGCATCAAGCGGTAACTCCTCCAATATCTGCAAACCAGAAGACATTAGTTCCAGCTAAATGGTACCCTTAAGTAAAGTCATTATAAGTTGAGCAAAACCTAGAGAATGATGACAAACAGAACATCTTAAAGAATCAGCAAGCATCACTAGGATAAGGTTAGAGACTTTCACAAGGAGTACAATGCCAAATAGAATATCTGGCAAAACTGATTTAGCAAGGAGTACGATGACAATGAGCAAATAGCCAAAGTACAGTTATGAGTTAATGTTGGCATACTTCTTCCCAACTTAGACAAGCTTTTCTGCTTAGTTCCTAAACAAAGCCTAAATAAGATGGAACTTATCAAAAACCTTGAACTTTTTTCAGAAAGCTTAGTGAACCTTGTTGCAACATCTCTTCGAGGAGGTTTTCTCTGCAATAAATAGCAAGCACAGTTGATAAGAACTACGAGTACATGCAAAATAGTTCACATTTGAATTGGCTAAGCTGACAGGCGCTAGAAACAACATACAAGTGCATAAGCACATAAAAGTTTGTGCAGCTAAGAAGCATAATGAAGGATCAATGAGCCACTATCCTGTAAAGTACCTTAAATATAAAAACTCCACTACCAATACCTATAAAGTTTCTTGATGAACCACATTGTGTAGATCTCTTTTGGTCTGATTTGCCTGGAAAGCAGAATAACACCATTTTTGTCAACAAAAAAGAAATGCAAATCGAAAATGAAAATCATTTCAGCATTCTTACTTATTTGAGCATTCTTACTTCAAACTTAAAACACAACACCCTGAGTCTAATAAAGCTAACAGACACCAGGATACTTTTTAACTCTCATTGGCTATTTCGAGAAATTGTGCCAACAACAGGTAGTAGACAATTCCAACTATACAGAAATTTCCACCAGATAAAATAAAGTTCAGGATTTTCACAGCATCGGCAATTGAAAAAGCAGACCTGAATGGAAACTTGACTGATCAGTATGAGAAGATAAGAAATTAGCTGAGTGATGATTACAGAAAATTACTTTTCCCAGATATTAATTAGCCTCTTAACTATTGGCAGAAAACCAAACAGTACCACTAGTCCCCTGTGCTTTTAGAATATGACAGAAAGCAGATTACTGAGTTTATCTTGTCTAAGATCCCTTGTTGGCAATATTTTACAACTTATTCTATTCTAGCCTTCTACGATTTGTGTCTCGACTGTCTTCTAGTGCTGACAAAATCTGCCTGAAAGAAAACATCCGTAAGTAGGAAAATAAGAGAATGCGACAAGCTGGGAAGAACTTTTACTATCATTTAACTTAACAAAGGAACTGCTAGAATGGTAGATTTAGGAATCCTCAAGACTACCACTAGATGGACGTGAAGAACCCTAAGCACAAGTCCATTGAAAGGCCACTCACAAAGATGTCAAAAACATCAAAGCATGAAATCAACGAAGGACTAAGTCATTGCTGTTCAGAATTACCAGAAAATGCATGATAGCTTTAGGTATTAGGTCTTCATTTTTCTTCCTGACAATGTCACAGTATGACCTCAATAACAGTTTTGTGATGGCAATTACAACAGCCTACTGATCTGAATGAGTTTCTGAAAGCCTCAAGATACTTGGGGGCTTCAAGCAAAACATATAGAGATATCATGTTTGATTTTATCACCAACGTAATCCATAAAGAAATCATACAGCAGAGAGGGCCTTCAAAACTCATACCTCTCTCAAGTGGATCATTCAGAAAGAATGGTCCATGCTCTGTACAGGATCACTGAATTGTTTGCCAATGAAATTGTCTTCTATAGATGGACGATTGTCCGAGCCACCAAATATTGATGATATTCTCCAACTTGAACCAACATTTGATCCTAATGAAGAAATATGTCAGCAATGGCTTTGGCAATAAGACCCAGCAAAAAAATATTTTCTAAAGATTATAAAGAGTCCAGAAAAATAAAATGAATTGATAAGCAGCAACAGAAAAGTTCACGGCGCTTGTCGAATTAAAGAGTACCATAAGTTACATGAGGAAGGACTTTTTCATAAAGCAACATTTGCATTCCTTATATACAATATTCATTCCTTTCTTGTCAATAAGATATTTAACTTGTCAAAATAACTAATAACTCGTGTATTTTTCATGTAACAAACATGTGGCATAAATGAAAAACATCATGTATCACCAGATGGAAACACACCTGAGGCTATAGTTTTCTCGACCACTGGAGCAAGCCAAACAACCTGTTCCCAGTCAAGAACACTAGTAAATGCAAATAATATAAGTTTCTTACTATTAGATATTTGAAAGCTGTGCAATGTCAATCAGGGAGACGATGAAGAAACCAAACAAGGAGATGATGAAGCAGAAAGGCCAACCTGATCAGGGATAAAACCACCAACTGATCTGGCAAGGATAGCACGTGATTTTAGACTTCTTTCTGAGGTTGGCACTTTTCTAGATCTACTCCATTCTGTAGCAATATATTAGCAAAAAATTAACATCAGTATGATATAACTTGTAAGACCATTTGCAAAAGTCTGTGAAACAGCAAATGTAACATTTAATTTCTACCTCAGATTTGGTGCAGCAATCCTAGATGGCTTGACCTGCTGTAATGCCATCTCATGAGCTTTATTCCCACAAGATGTGTATTTATGCAATCCATCTGCAACAGAAAATATAATTAAGTTGATCAATATAAAATATTAACAGCAAAGATTCATAAGAATTTTAGTGATTTGCTATAGCAATTCACAAACTTATCTTGGCAAGAAAGGATTCAAGTTCTAGCTAAATATTTCAAAAGTATCGATAAATTCAATAAACTTGATCATAGATGCAAATGTGTGTTGTATTTAGGTCTAAGCAAAACCAAATAAAACACCCAACATTTTGACATAACTCCATCTCAATAATGTGTCCAATCATTACTTATGAAGGTTCCAGTCCATCACGCAAAAAAATTTCCTAACCTCATGCATGCGCTTTCTCAAAATTGGAAACCGTTGCAACTCATTGACCATACAACGATGGCTCATCTACGAAGGAATCATTCAAGTTAGAACAACAATTATAAGAAAGCATTACCGGAATAAAAAGGTAGTCAACAATGGCCTACTTGAACCAGCTCATCATATATAAATCTTGCACACTGAAAACACGGTTTCATTAAACATGCTATTTAACCTTCGGATGTGAACTTGAAATGGGACCTGCATATTTACACAATAATTAAGATGCAGCCAAAAAATGTCATAAAAATTACAACAAGTATTCTAGAAAGTGCTGAACTATTGGCTCAAAAGCAAACGCAAAGAAACAGGTTAATCCTTTGGAGTTACTTCTGGCACAAATAAAACAGCTTTGGGACCCGTGGCTTTTTGATGGCAGTTCGGATGTCATCATCAGTTAAATCTTCACAAGGATCAACTTCCTGCAGGAGAAAGAGAAATCTTTGATAAGCAACTGAACCTAGGATGAACATTCTAATTATACGCCTCAACATACTAATATGCAAAGTTACTGAAAAGTTCTTGTGTTTGTCATTCACATCTTTTTACAGCCTTGAAGATTTAGAATGCTTGTATATGAGGAACCTATTGTATATACTTGTGGTTTATTGACAAAAGGAGCTAGTCGATAAAAGACTATTCAAAATGGAGGATTTCGATTATGCAACTATGTTCCTGGATGAAAACCAACTTACGTGGGCAATATTATTTATGGATTGTATATGTTCACAGCCCTTAGCAACAATTTATGAAGACCACACCAATAAAAAATTTAATGCCCAAAAAAGCATTTTAAACCCATTCAGAGTTGGCCATACCAACCAAAGCATACATCCTAGCTACCTATTGACAAAAATGGCATCAACGTCATTTATGTGCAAACATTAGCAAGTCTAGAGATGAATTTCAATTCTCCAAGCAAGAAAAGAATAATGTAGGCATTTCAAAGATTATATAAAGAAGTGGACCTCCAAACTCTTCACAAATATGTCCTGAAAAATGTGATGATTTCTTGCTCCACCAGACAGCTCAGAAGTTGACATTTCTTCATTTTTTCCTTCCATCATTGAAGAAAATGCTTCTCTCAACCAAAA